CTTCTAAAAAAAGAAGAAAAAAAAAAAAAAAAAAAAAAAAAAAAAAAAAAAGAAAACGTCTTAAATTTCATTAATTTTTTTAACCTTTCATAAATAATTATACATTTTTCATGATAAAAAAGTGTTCATATGCAATCACATTATGTTTTAGTGTTCTTCAGATTCAGTGCTGGACTTCCTTCCACCAGTGGAGTCTCAGGGTGGCAGCCGAGCAGCATCACACCGGGACTAGAAAGAAGAGTGACACGGCGCCCGGCGTCCATTAGAGATCGAGTGCATTTACACACACGCACTCATCTCGGGCTCTTCAACATGCGGGCACCGTGACGGTCTCCGCTGGTAGATTAGTTCATTCATCCGCTCACTAAAACAAAAAAGCGATTTGGCTTGTAGAATTAACGGTCTCAAATCCAACCGGCAGGTTAACCGGCAGACGAGGAAACCCCGTTTCCCGTCCTGGTCGGCAGCGGCAGCAGCCTGTGGTCAGTTGAGCTTAATGGGCAGGTCCTCTCCGTATTTGCGGAGGAACTTGCTGTGGTTGTGGTTGACTGACCAGAGAGGAGGGAGGTGGCGAGGCCGCATGGCGATGAGGAAGTGCTGCCTCCAGCGGCACTCCAGGTCCATCAGGCCCCGCAGGCCATGCTGGGCACTGGCTCGCACCACCTTCAGACCGTGAGGCACGTACGTCTCGTTGAAAATCCTTCAGAGGAGAGAGGAGCAGTCAGCGGGAGGCTCGCTGCCGGACTCGGCTCTTGAGAGACCGCATGCAACGATTAGAACTAACGCATGAACTGGCCGATATCGTTACCCGGTATTAGCCATCATCGATATATTAATCAAACAAAAAGTAACAAGAAATGTGGAATTAATGACCAAATGTAAGGAATTTGTGTCTGAAATTTGATGGATTTACGTGAATTAATGATAAAAACAACCAATATATCCGCCTATTTCTATTTACTCAAAATATGGATATTGGTATTACTATTTTCATAAATAATAAAGTAATTCATTATCACCAACTGCAGTGAAGTTACTTAAACATAATGTTTGTATATTTGGAAGTTTATGAATTCAGTACTGCTCATGTTTTTTCTGATTAATACTCGATCTTGTTTTGAGCGCCTCCTGTTCTGTTGTATCAAGCAACACTGCTTGAGGGTATTTTGAATTTTTGGTTCATTCCCATCTTTGTTTTGGACTCTCACTCAAACTTGTGTTTCCAGTTTTATCTCTCGAGTGTTTAAGATGTTCAGGCAGTTTTGTTCAGGAGAGAAAAAGTAGTTTCAAACTCCGATGGGACCAAATAACCACGCTGATATAAACGAAACACTAAATAATCGAATGGTTCTGTTTGGTCTGAGCCCGAGTGGAAGCTCACCTCGTCTCCAGACCGGCGGCCTGCTGCAGCGCCTCGTCCGTCAGCTCCTGCTCCTCGTTGTAGCCGAGGAAGCTCTTGATCACGGCCTGCAGCTCTTCTCGTCGCTGCTCCGGCAGCTCGTCCCTGGCAGTGACCAGAGCCCGAGCCGCCGAGCGCACCCGCCGTCGGCCCGAGTCCTCCAGCAGGCGAACCCCCTCCTCGCAGCCCTGAGGGGCGGCGAACTCTTCGGCCAAACGCTGCTTCAGGATGCTGTCGTGCACGTTGGAGGCGGCGTGGCAGGCGGTGCAGAGCAGCAGGATGTCGTGGGAGTTGTGGTCCTTCATCTCGGTGGGAAAATGCCGCCTGTACTCATGTGGCACTATGTTTTTCCTGTGGGACCAAAGGGAAACATGAATGAATCATGTCCGTCACGTAATTAAGTTCATAATGAATTATTAATCTTTAAAAGCACAACACTTAGAAGTGTTTTTATGGTGCTGTTGGCCACTCAGTTAAAGGAAATGTAACTCGGCTAACGGGCCTTTTTAAAATGTACTGAAATAATTTATCAAAAAACAAAAAAGTGCTGGTTCAGGCTTCAGAAATGTGAGGATTCACAGCTTTTCTGTCACTGGAAATCATTGCACGTGGACAAAAGATAACAGATCAATAAACAATGAAAGGAACTGTTAATTACATTCCTAGTCGAATATAGAAACGTAGCATTATTCCTTAACAGAAAACAAAAGAAGAAAGTGTTTCAGACAAGGTGATGTTAGTGAAACTTGTCAAACCTGATGTAGGAATCTGCTTTGCCGCAGACCACGCAGAGATTCTCCTTGGCAGTGAGGTAATAGTCCTGTTGGGAGTCGGGACGTCCCGACGGCTCAAACAGCAGCCTCACTGCAAAAGGCTCCTCGCTCTGGAGCACTGGGTCACAAACAGAGATTATGTCGATCATATCTTAACAGATACAAACGCAGATAAGATCACAAGCTAAACAAAGTGGAGAGCAAACGCTTGTCAAATTTATGAATGAACGGAGATATTTCTGAATGTTGTAGCTGACACCATGAAGACTTTCTGACATTCTGTTTTAATGTTTACACGTTGGGTGTTATCCAGTGTACCTCCTATTCCTTTATCTAGGTACCATTTGGCTTTCTTCTTGTCACAGGTGCACAGAGGCTGACCATCAGGAGCATGGAGGAAGCAGTTATCGTAGAGAGGAGACTTCCTGTAAAACACACACAGAGACAGAGAGACAGAGAGAGAGAGAGACAGAGAGAGAGACAGAGAGAGAGAGACAGAGAGAGAGACAGAGAGAGAGACAGAGACAGAGACAGAGAGAGAGAGAGAGAGAAAGAGACAGAGACAGAGAGAGAGAGAGAGAGAGAGAGAAAGAGAAATTCAGAAGATTGTGTAACTTGCATCTAGCCTTTGACATTTCATTCCCAGAATCAGTTGGAACGGTTTAGAGACAACAATAATCAAAAGCAGATTCATTTCCAGCTGTTGTGGAGAACCGTTTTCTTGGTTTCGATAGCGCTGGCCTCACCTGGCAGAGTAGCCCACACCCAGTGGTTTCCTCTTGTTGTTCTTTCGAGGGTCTGGGACTTGCTGATCTCCAGACTCCGGGCTTTCAAATGTGGGCGTTTTCCGCGACCTGCGCCTCCTCTCTCCGTCCGACGCCCTGTCTTCTCCATCTCCTCGGCCCCTGAAGGGCACATCCACCAGGCCCTGGCAGCGGGCGGCCAACTCCGAGTGAGAGTCCCCGCTGGAAGATTCGGGACCGGCTTCAGCGCGGAGGCCGAGGAGATGGAAGAAGAGAGCGATGGAAACTTGGGCATCTCTGGCAGCATAAGTCATCTAGAAGGAACGGACGACACAAACAAAAATTAGAGGAAACCAGTTTGATCTCCCAGATAATGTCACGATGCTTTAGGTTATTAAATATGTCATTAATTCAACCTGGGGAGTCTCATAGTTTATTCCTCAACTTGTTTGTTTATGTACACATACTCATTACTTTTCATTTTACATGACGGAACGAATATTTTAAAGACACATTTGTCTATTTCTTGTACCGATTATTCAACCGGGACAGTTTCCTGCTGGTCTAACTTGAGGCACCACCACCTCGCTGCTCTTTCCTTTCTTAAAGCTGATTTATCCTCTAAAGCAGACGTGAACAATGAGCTATGAAGAATGTGGAGCTCTCTGTGCTATAATGAATAACCACCTGCTTCAGCGTCAGTTGATCTGCCTCCCAGTCACTGCAGCGCAGCTCCAGAGATTTATCCAGAGACACGTTCAACAGATCTTCTGCCAGAGACTTCAGACTGAGGCCGTTATTCACCGGAGTCTGCCTGAAGATGGAGACACAATTTGAGAGGATCATTTGCATTTTACATACATTACTTTTGGATATTACATTTCAATATCATTATTTTATCAGCAACAACAACAATTTCCAGGATTAATAAAATCTCATCTTACATATCATAATGTGACTAACAAACAAGAGGAAGAAGTCTGCTCTCTATGAACACCTGTAACAGAGACAGCCGGTACCTTTGTCTTAAGGCGAGGTAGCGCAGGTCGACTGTACACGACAGCGGCAGACCGTAGTCTCTCGTCAGACGCTTGCCGTCTTCATAACAGCCGACGCCGACCTTCAGGACGTGCGGGTCTCGCAGGACTTCCATCAAGCTGAGAGGGAACGGCTGCTGGGCGCTGCGAAACGCCAGCAGCCTCACGAGGACGCACAGACCCGAATACGTGGCCATCTGTAGCAGGGAAACCACAGACACTCGGCCTTTCACCGACACCTGCAACAGGAAACGGCAGCCGGGTGAGACAAAACCACGAGCACGACGGAAATGTTACAAGAAAATTCCACCCATCTGATAATCTCTCTCTCTCGAGGAGAGATCTGCTCATTTGATCTTAACCGCTATGATGATTTTCTACTGACTGTATCCCTCAGACGCCATTCTTCATTAGCTGTGTGTGGTGTGATTGTGTGTCGTCTGATTCAACATAGTTTAACATATTGAGCGTATTCCTGTTGGTAACGGGCTTCAAACATTCAGGGTGGATTTTTCCTCTTCTTATGTAAAAACATGCAAAAGGTATTTCTTACGCCTTTGATCTTTACCCATTCACAGTCGAGCCCCAGCACAGGGAACACCGACAGCTCCTTCTGCATCAGCGGCCAGAGCTGCTGCCATTCCTCCTCAGAGCTCACCGTCACCGGATTCACAGCCAGCAGCTGTTCAGAGGACGGGATCTGTACGGGAGGCAGCAGCTGTGTGGTGAGACACTCCGCAGCATTAAACTCCTTCTCCAGAAGACGTGGCGGTTGGTTGTTTTGATGCTCCACAGCTGTAAGGTCCTTTTCCACGGGCCACGGAGCCTCCACGGGATCGGCCACCTTCTGGACGGAAGGCAGCCTCTTCCTTTTCGATCGGTAGACTCGCCATATGAGCAGCCCGCCTAAGGTCGCTCCCAGTACTGTTATGACAGCAGTTAAATGCCCTCGATGAGACATGTCGGCTTGAAGTGATCCTCAGCTGGCAGAAAAGTGAAAATCTAGAGCCCAAAAAAAACAAAACACACAAGTGGCCGGATCTGCATGTGTAAAACCTTTAGTTTGTTGATGAAAAGGTGAGTGATGTTTTACCTTTCTGTGTCAGTGGGATCCCATGTAAACCTGACTGTTTCTGGGATCTGGACAGGCACTGCATCTCTCTGCAAGAGAAATAAAGGTAACACCACACGTCATAAATAAATAAATATCCAAAATCAAGTTTTATTGTCATCTATAGAATGCACACAGTGCAACATATCAAGTGTGAAATAAGTGATACACAGCCAATAAGTAAATTATGTGATAAAACATGATATAAAAAGTATGCAGTGGCACAGAATGAAGTGCAACACCGGTCACAGAATGAAGTGCAACACCGGTCACAGAATGAAGTGCAACACCGGTCACAGAATGAAGTGCAACACTGGTCACAGAATGAAGTGCAACACCGGTCACAGAATAAAGTGCAACACTGGTCACAGAATGAAGTGCAACACCGGTCACAGGTCAAGTTAGCTACCTTGTTAGCTGGCTTGCTGTTAGTCGTTTCACCATTGCGGTCTACTTTATTCTAATTTAAAAGGCTACATATTGACAGTGATGCCTGTTTAAAAACATAGCTGCTACATGTATAAGCTGTAGGGTTCATACGAGTTCATACACAACTCTTGCGTGAGCTGTCATTCAGTTGAGGAGGTAGCTTCAAAGCTAGCGGTAGCATCACATTCTGCTAGCTCTGACCGTTAGCTGCGTCATAAACTGAACCAGGTTTCACGTTTTCACCTCAATTGGAAATAAGTTTTTAAGAAAAGACTGATTAAAACATTAATTTATTAAATTATTCTGGTTCTCTTTCCTTGTGAAAGTTAAACCGACTGGTTAGCCTGGTTAGCCACTATAGCTAGCCGGTTAACTTGCTAGCATGTTAACTCTTCTTCTGTCGTTGGGCAGAATTAGAGACGTTACTGCATAGCAGCAGAACAATACGTCGGTGTACTAAGATATGGACCTTGAAGCCTTACCTCTACGTGTTTAACCAATACATCGCTAGTTTCACGAACATCTTATTCTTGCTTCATTTTACTGAACTGATCCAAGTCTTCCGGGCTGTATTTATAAGGACGCTGCTGCACCGGGACGCGGCTCTCCAGCCAGCGCCACCTGCTGGACGGGCGGATAATAACAGGAAAGACCAATCCAGAAGAATCTGCTCCACTGGGGAAGTTACAACATTGTTTATAAATGCATCCTAATACAGGTTTTGTCTTTGTTTATTGTATAAGTGCAAATAATTGTCAGTAATGTCAACAATCAGCTGTAAAATCTCCTGGAACCTGCTGTTCATTCTTTTATTCATAAGCATAATGTGCATGCGTTTGCACTAGGGCTGCAACTAACCATTTTTTTTTTATTATGAATCATTTGACTGATTATTTTTGCCTATTAAATGCAATAAATAATGAAAAAAATGGCCATACAAGTTTCCCAGTCCAAGGCGACATATTGAGCTTTTGTCTGGCACTGTTCAAAACCAAAATATATTTAATTTACAATCATAACAGCAAATTCTCACATGTGAGAAGCTGGAACCAGTGTTTGTTTCAGCTTGTTCCCAAATAACTAGTGCCAGTTATATTATTATTATTATTATCAATGTTAATGGATTTCATGACAGTATTTACTCAAGAACACAAACTACTTTTTCCTTTACCACCATCAATTTATTCAATCGTTTAGCTTCAATATTTCTCCAAAGAAGTGGAATAAAGTAATGAAATAATTACAAAATGGAAAAATAGATCCGATAATAGATCATATTCACAGGTTTGATTTAAAAAATAAAAATAAAAACATAAATCAGACAGTGAGAGATGAAACCGGTTTTTTTTTAATCTCCCGTAGTTTTCTGCTGACAGTCAAAACCACGGCAGGCTAACGGAGGGCGGGGCAGGTCACCTGACTAACTCTGATCACGGTCACCTGTGAGGTTGAATCATCTACTTTAGTGCGTGTGCAAAATAAAAATAAAAAAATCTAAAAAAATAATATAAGAGGTGGAGAGACAGGAAAAGACTGTGTTAAATTAAAAAAAAACACACAAAAAAAAAGAATGACAATGAAAACAGAAGAAGTAAAATGTTAAGTACTGATGTGTACTATAAACTAGTAAAAACTGAGCACAGGTAAGAGAGGCAACCAGTTGGGCACCAACACCATTTCTAGGTCCACATTGATTGTTGCTGCAATGATACCTTATTTACAGTGAGATGCTTCACATCCAATCACAGGATGCAACAGACGGCGATAAAGAGATCTTTCTTCAAAAATAACACAAAACACAAAAGTAAAGCAGCTGTCCCTTCACAAAATCTCTTTACATCACATTAAAAATTAGCACTGCTGTGAGTTGTGTGTACAGTATAGATTCTTTATAGATATATATATTTATGTATAATATATACGGTCATTTCTTGTATACACGAACATAAACTTGTCTCATTGTAGCTAGCCTGTGCCTTTGGCACGATTACTTACAACTCTTCTGTTAAGATTCCAAAGCTATTTAAAATATACTTAATGCATAAAAATAAAGATTTTGGCATTGTCTCACTTTATTCTTCTGACTGGGAAGTTATTAATGAGAACTTCTCATCTGGAAGCTGAGTTCTCTCAGTGCTGCAGTTCCTCTGCCAGGTGAGGGAGGTCTCGTCCTGTCCACTGGGAGCGCTGGGAGCTTGACCGAGTAAAAGTGGGCCGGCAGGGGGGCTGACAGGGGGTTAGGTGTGGTACAGATTCTCCACCGGGTAACGATGAGCTTGTGCTGCACAGCACAAACAAAACTATACAGACAATGTTAATGAAATGCCTGGGGAGCTGCACCCTTGTGAACAGCAGCCGCTTTTGTTTTTTGTCCTCCCCTCACTGCTGTGCAGAGTTCGGCTCCCTGTTGGTTCACCCGTTGCTCTTCTTTTCGGTCCTGCTGAGCTCGTCCACTGACACTGAGATGAAGAGAGGCAAGGGGGACATTCCCCTCTCTTCTTTAGTCAATCATCCGTCTGCTCCCCTGGCAAAAATGGCCTCCCTATTGTCCAGTACTTTCTAATCTCAAACACAGTCTTCAGAGCTGGATCTCAAAGGTCTTGTGCAGCTCAGTGGAGAAGGGATTTGTCGGGGAGGGTGTGGTGCGCTGGCGCGAGCGGCCCTCCAAGGCTGCCCACTGGGCCTCAAAGGCATCCTCCGGCGGGTCTGGGGGCGGCTGGGTGAAAGGGGAGGAGGGAGCGAGTTGGGACGGAGCAGCCCAGTTGTCTGCCCCGTTAAAGGTCACACTGCCGTTGGACGGCTGGACGGGAGCGAGGGTCACCACGTTGGATTGCGGGGGTTTGATGAACGGGCTGATGTGGCAGGCGGCCTGGGGATGGTGCTGGGGTGTTGTGGAGGCCGGGACGGGGAACGGCTGGGGCTGCGTGGCCGAGCCGAACACGTTAGCCACCATCTGTGAAGGAGTGATGCCGACCACGGGCACGCTGGGCTGAGGGAACGGCAGCCCGTTGGGCATCGGGTAGGAGGCCGGAGCCTGAGCGTGGAAGGCGGGCTGGCGGGGGGGCAACATGGGCACGGTGGAGGGCAGAGAGGACATGAAGGGCACCGGGGTAACAGAGGGAACGGGCGCCACAGGCATCGCCACAGGGGCAGTGAACTGGGCGGGTGGCATGATTGGATTGGGCTGTGGGCCTCGGACAGACATGGTGACTTCTTCTAACCACCGGTCGGCTTCTGATGGGGTGCGTCTGTGGGAGGACATGGACGGGGAGGACATGGGCGGGACCACTATCACCGGAGCAGGCGATGACCAGTTACTTCCTGTTTGCAGAAAGTACACAGTAAGGCAAAACAAAGTTAGTGATTACTTATCGGCTTGTGGCGGAGAAAGATTGATACCACTCTCATATTTATCTGTTAAATATGAGGCTACAGCCAGCAGCCGGTTAGCGTCGCTTAGTTTAGCTCAACATTTAGAGGGAAACAGCCAGTCTGACTCTGTTCACAGGTAACAAAGTCCACCTACAAGCACATCTCAAGCTCTTTAATTAAGACGTTATATCACATTTGTTTAAATCATACAAAAACTGACGCGTAAATTCACCATTTTGCAGAGGGTAATGTGCGGTAATATTTCTTGCTGATAGGCCGAATATGTTACATTCAGGCAGATCTGTAGCGTCATATTTATTTACACATATTTCGTATTTATTTATTTCCCAAGTCTTTTTTCATGTACAATGAAGGTACAGGAACTTGTCTTGGTGTCCCCAACAACTTATTGACACCCAGTTGTTGTGTATCATCAAAAAATGATGCAAGGATAAGAGGACCTTCAACTCAAAGGTGCATGTCCCCATCACGTATTTGTGCCTATTTAGCCTCTCTGATGTGCTGCTTACCTGGCTGTGCTGAGGCCGGGGCTCCTGCTGGAGTTTTAGCCCAGGGGTTAGTGTCTCGAGCAGGCAGAGCGGGGGGCAGAACTGGGGGGTTAGCAGCAGTAGCAGCAGCAACAGCAACAACAGAGAAGGCAGGAGACGTGCCGTTCACTACAGCAGATAAGAGACAGAAGCTAGTACGAGCAAGCTTGTGCGTCGGCTGGCGTGGACCGATCTTTTGTTAGACGAGCACAACATTACCGTGCAGTTAATCAACAGGTGTTAATCACACGCATCAAATAAACCTTATGAGAAAAATGTGAGCGAGTGCACGTTCTTTAACTGCAAATTTAAAGTGCAAGCAACACTATCTTCACTGGAAGTCTCTATTTCCTACAGAGCTGAATGCCAAATTGTGGGCAATGACAGGCTGTTGGCCAGATAAGTTGGCCACAGATGATGGTTCTGGCGGTTATCTGCAGCAAACAACCAGTGAATTAGTGTGCAATGCCTCATTCCCCCTCTGATTGTGGTTTTGACTGGCAAGTGCAAAACTGATAACAACTTCACTACATTCATTCTAAGCTAATGTCTCTAAACGTTTATTTGAAGAGCTACAAGAAGCTAAAACCTGCATGTTTGTTTTTTAATTAATGCTACATCATCAGACATGATAGTTGATAGTAGAGCATGTGATTTGTCTATTTAAAATCTAGTTGAATCCAATCAGAGAACCCAGTAATCGACTGAGTTCATCACAAAGCAGATGTTACCTGGTGCTACAGGAGACTGAGGGGATGACGCTGGTTTGGGCATTGGTGCTGAGGAGAAGGGGTCCTCTGGGGGTCCGCTGAACGCCGAGGTGATCTGAGTGCACAGCGAGCTGATGCTGTCATTTTCTCCCTCTACTTCAGCGACTGGAGGGGAAACAGCAGAGACAAGGTATTAGAAGCAAACATAAAACACGTAGAGGAGAGGGCAGATTTCATCTCGAGGAATCTAGATAGGTTGTGTAGAACAACAAGGGAGCCGAGGACACGGAGAGCTGATCAGGGTCCCAAACTCACCTGTGTTCTTCATGGGGAAGTCAGACTTGCGCTGCATGGTGGAGGGCAGCTCGTTCATGCGCAGTGACATCTGTCGTTTGAAGGGAGACGTCTTCTGACTGAGGACCGGGAAGCCTCTGAAGGAGCCCTGCCTGGCGAGAGCCTCGGCCGGTGCGTGTCGGCGCGGTATCACCTGAGGTCCCAGGGTGGACATGGAGAGAGGAGGCGAGGACGACGGCGAGGGGGAGCCTCCCGTCGGGTGCGCTGAGGAGTTCGTCACACTGGTGGCTGAGTTCCCAGCAACCTTCACGTCTGTCTCCGCTGTTGGAGAAGGGCAACGTTCAAAAAATGAAGCCACGATGAATAAATGAAGCAATAACTGCAGCTGGAAGTTTTTAATGTTTCTTAAACTTGCTGAGTCATTTCCCAGTTCAGGGAATAACAGTGTCTAGACGGCACTAGATATACAGACCGTTTTTAGCATCCTGTAGCTGCCTCATGACTTCTTCCCGCTCTGCCGCCTCCGTTGCTGTCGTAACACGAAATGAGCCCTCCCGGGTGAAAGTGGTTCTGTTGGCGTCAAAGGTTGCCGTGACCCCACACTCCTTCTCCCGTTTCTGTTTTCGCTCCAGACAGGCGGCGAAGGCACAACCCACAGCATGGCTGAGACGCTCTCCCTGAGAGAGAAACCATGCAAAGAATAAAGTATGAAACTAATATAATGATCTCGTTTACTCGAAGCTCCTAGTAAAATAGTATTGTGGTATTAAATGACTTCTTACTGAGTCTTTAATGGCCATGAAACAGTGGCAGATCCAGCGCCGCGTGGTGCCGTCTCTGCAGATGTAAGAGAACGCCCTCTCAAAGTTACGGTCCGGAGCGCAGAACGACACCTTCTCTATTGTCTGGTCCAGGATCAGGTCCTGCAAAAACACACATTTTCACTTCATTACTATGAGCTTAATCAATATGGTCGGAGTCAAGTGACACTCGATCGAGACAGTTCAAAATGTGGGCTGAGTGATTTCATAGTGAACAGCTCTTCAATGTGAAGGCCTGGCTTCAAGAGCGCTCGAATAAAACTACCACCGGCTCCAGAAGCTGTAGTCTGCACCCGTCACTGCTCTCTGAGCAAACCATGAACCTGACAAATAACGTCTCACTCACGGAAATAATAATAAAGCTTAAAGACAGAAGAGGAATTATAATTTCTTTCTTCTTCTATTTAATAACCTACAGCTGCCGTGAAACGTTAGCATCAGCCTCTCAGAAACCGTAGAACAGGGTTGGTGCAGTACCAGAGCTTTCCAGCAGGTGTCCCTGTAACCTTTACTGTTCACTCTACTTAAATCTACTCCTGCAGGTGCAACTAGTGCATATCTACAAAGAGGGCCTCTTGGAGGTCACTAGAGCAGAAGTAGAACAGCTTCACCACCGTTATCAGCTGCTGGAGCTCAGCAGCTTCCACCTTCAAAGCTACACGTACTTCCTGTGACAGCGCTGTCTTTTTGATGGAGGCCTTAAGAAGGGCCTTCTTACCTTTGTTTTGTCATCGACAACACGAAGACCGTCTGCTGACACCCACAACACGGCGCGCACTGGCTTCTTTCCAGCCTGCAAACAGAGCACAACAGGGACAGGTACGAGTAAGAAACGAGGAAACCGTCGAGTCTCTCCATGCCCCAGTAAATTTCCTCTGTACCGTTCATTCCGTGGTACCAAATCATAAAACATCAGTCAACACACACACACAAACCACACCTGTAAACAAAGAGAAAGCACCAGGAGAGAAGAGAGAGAAGACACAAGTCAGGAGTGGTTTTTCTGAGTGCCCAAATTTGAATGAAAGGAACAAGAAGGTTGGTTTGAGAATTGGTGCTCAGATGCAGTCGACAGTGTTTGGTTAGAATAAAAACAATAACAATATTTGTGTGTGCACAGAAAGTAAACGTCCATTCACACAAAATGTTCATTGTTCCATTCTCGGTTCATGGAAGAAAGCTGAAGGGAGAGAAGGCCTGTTAATACAAAACACACACACACACACACACAAAAAAGTGCCCCGCCTCAGCCTAAACCACCCCACCTGCTCAAAGACACATGCATCATTGTGTTTGTCTCTCCAGACAGACGCAGACGCAGACGACCCCCCCACCCCCCCCGTGTATGAGTGCGTTTCTTCCCGACTTCAGATGTGATCAAAAGGAGGTGTTACATGAAAATGATAATGCTCATAATAAGGAGACACACACAACGCAATAACTTACTTTTGCAAAGAATCCTTTGAAGAATTTCCTGTCCTGGAATTGGATATGGTA